GGTAAGAGGATAGTAAATTCAGGAGTTTGCTACCTATTCCGAAAGATGGCAGTTTCAAGAGAAGAAGAGCATGGTCAACACGATCAAAAGCCTCAGTAGGTTATTTTCTGTTAAGCGACACATCATATTATCTTTGATCAATGTCTCTGAGATATTCAAGGCTGCGTAGTGTGCGTTTATTGGCCGAAAGTCATGAAATGACGTAGATTGGCCATGCTTAGGAATGGGCAAAATGTGTGATTCATACCACAAAGTGGGATTGGTTCCATTTTCAAGGGCGAGATTAAGTATCTCGCATAAGAGGCCTGGAAAAATTGTATTTGGATCAGCTTTTAGAATGCTTACTGGGACACCATGGGGACCCGGGCAATGAGAATGACAAAATCGCCGAATCGCAACAGTCACATCCCACAGAGTGAAAGTTATAGTTTCGAGAACTGCCCCGGTCAGTTCCTGGATGGTCAGAAGCGGAGTGGTCGAGTCTTTAACAAACGTTTTGGACAGGGAATCATTGAAGCTATCAGCGGTTAACTGGGCATCAGCCACAGGATTCCCGGGAGCGTCTCGGAGGGTGGGATGCTGTGTCTTTCTATGAGTTCGTACTTTTCGGAAGAAAAGTTTCGAGACATTTAACGAACGGTTTTCAGTGAATTGGACATCTTCGGCAAGTTGATTTTCTTTAGACAATTTTGTAGCCCGTTCACATATATCACAAATCAAGGGCAGAGTGCAAACTTCGTTCTGAAGATGGAATCGACGATAAAGTCTGTGCAATCTGCGACGAAAGGGCAGGGGTAGGAAAACCTCATACCGGGCATTAATAATTTTCTTACGGGGGACAAAACTAGAAATAAGGGGATCCACCATTTTGAACAGATTAGCAGTGCAAACATTTACGACGAACTTGAGCAGAAATCAGTCCGATCGTAAGAATTAAGGTGTGTTAATAATTCGGCCGAGCGAGCTGATCAGAAATTGGGGACAACGTTTTGTCAACCCCGAATTCCAACGTTGAGACAACTATGTCATTGTTTGAGCCCTGAGTGGGCCTTGGGATGACACTGACGAAGACATGCAACCTCTACAGAAAATTAGGTCACATATGCTTGATCTTCGCGTGGAAAAATCGACAACGTGAGTCCACATCCCAACACCCACAGCCTACGAATTTTTTTGGGCGGGACAGTGGAAACCAGAGGACTTCAGGAAGATTGAAGTCACCTGAACTTAACCGATACTTAAAGCTTAATTCGGCCGCAACATGAAATGGCAGTGAGAGTAAACGATCAAAATTTTCATTGGCGTTGCGAGGGTGATAGACACAGCCAGCAAGTGGAGAGAACTTATGTTTTAGAGCAACTTGGAGCTAGCCGCAGCCTTTTACCGCAGAAAAATTCGGGAAGTCCAGAGGCAGAAATGCAAGTGTTTGCTTAACGTAGACGCAACTGCCCCCAAAACGGCCGTCTTGACGATCACATTTAATGCAAGTATAGCCCGGAAGAGATAGTGTGGAATGGGCTGCGGAAGATGATGACCATGTCTCAGTTCCTGAAACAATATCTGGGCAATGGACGAACATCAGAGTCTGAAGCAAAGGCATCTTATCCAGGGGCATACGGTGTGGAAGCACCTTTCCGGTTCTGCAAAGCGTTTGTGGCTCCAAAAGATCCCAACGTGAAAAAAGGAGCATGATTTGTGGGGGGAAATGACGAGCTGGGAAACTGATGACTATTGTTAGTTAGCTAAATTTTCTACTGGAAATCCACTGGCAGGGAGAGTAATGGTTTAAAGTGAAACCGAGGGGCAGTTTTTTAAGACCCACGTCTTCGGGACATGCCGTACTTTCCTCGGTCTGTTGTATAGTCTTTTAGGGAAAATGTAGCTAATGGGGATGCCCGATCCTAATTAGAGGGAGTTAGAATCTGCCCTGCAAATGACACCAGTTCCCCAGCTTCATTAAAGTTAAAGGAATCGCGGCTGCGACACTTACTGCGTACCGGTTGATCCTGGCGAATGTGAGTCATTTCAGTCGCCGTAATTGCTATTTTAGTCCGTGGCTTTTGAAGTCGGGGGGTAGTAAGTTAGTGTACTGCAGGCGACCAAGCGCGGCGTGTCGTAATGTTCTGGTAAGCAGGCTGCGTTCGGAATTTTCTATTCGTATAAAAACCTCAATTTGAGAGGTTGTTTTTGAGAAGTAAGATTCTGTCGAAAAAAAAACTGCTGTGTGATTTTGCCTAAAAAACCGAATACGGCAGGTTTGTAATGCAACCATTCCTCCCCTCTGAAATCCATGCTTACGTGGTTGTTATTTATCTGTCTTGATCAGAAGTCCTGATGTAGAAACTGAGATTTCTTCGCGCGTTTTCGTTCGTTTTAGTGTTTCTCATTGGTAGCTAATAGGTGCGGAGTCCTTCGACAGCGTGCGTCAAAAGCGTTGTTCGACATCGCGTTAACGGGCAACTCCCCATTTATTCATTTAGTAAAATCTGGTAAACATTTTTTATTTCCTGAGCATGTTTTCCCGGTATGAATAATAGGATCCAGATAAATTCAAACGCCCACACGCTCGCCAGGACTGAAACAGATTTATCCCATATCCTTCCGTCGACATTTAATTATTAAGTTCGGAAATAATGCTTCCGGTCACATGTCCATCAAATTCCTTCCCTTGGACTTTACAGGTTTGGCCAACCTTTGGCTTTCTATCCAGAAATTAATACACTTAGCATTAAAATCGCTTTGCTAATTTGCTTCGTGCAGCGTACGCGATAACGCCACTTGGAACGAAACCGTGGTGACTCTATACAACGACATGATAGCAATTCACTTTTATTTATAAAATTGGTTGGATACCAGTGTCGCAACACTCCGTTACTGATGCTAGTATTATTGCAGTTAGTTACCCATACTGTAAGCGTTGGTAGAGTAGCATTGGCGGCCGTGGTGGCGGTGGTAGTAGTAGTAGTACTAATAGTAGGATTATTAGTAGTATTCGCCGTATCAGTGGTGGTAGACGGGAGAAAAAGTTTTCTTCAGTGTTGCGACACTGTATTCCCGCCAGTGGTAGTAGTATGAGTAGTACCAGCGGCAGTAGTGGTAGTAGTAGCAGTAGTAGTGGTGGTGGTAGTAGTAGTAGTATTAGTGGTAGTAGTAGAAGTAGTAGTAGTAGTCCGCCCGTAAGACAGGCTGGTGGAGGAATAGACAATTCTAAGTGTTGCGACACTGTATTCCCGCCATAAAATTTAAATCCAAACCACAATAACGCCTTGTTGTACATGCAAAATTTATAGAAGCCTAAGTGAGTTTGTTAAATAAATGGGGTTTTGATCCCTGAGCTCTCTATACATATTCACAAACAGCATTTGAATCAATTCTGGTATTAGTAATTCTGGAAAATCAAAAGTTATCGGTATTTGTGAGGCAGGCGCAAACATCCACCAAAGACACAATCGTGCTTACATGTACAGTCGTTTCACAGCAGTAAAGTGACTCAGCAGTTTCAGATAAAACCACCACTTCAGGGAGTCCTTTCCATTCTCCAAAGAACCGCTGCGAGAGGCCGTTCCGTCAGACGTCCGCATCGGCTAGAGTCCTCTACACTTTAAGGGGATGACCACGCAGACGGTCTGTCCCAGCTAACCCGAAGAATTCATCAAATTCTAAGGCACACTCACGGCCTCTGACAATCCTGTAGGTTTGAATGGGATCGCCGAGCAGTTGCCTGTAATTAGATGAAAACAAATTTAGTTCGGCCAGCCTGGTTTCGTAAGGCAGATGATCAAGATACTTGAACATATTCGTAACCATCGTCTGTGATCTTTCCAGTTATTGATAATCCTTCTTCAACCACGGTCGTCAGGCCTGGACTGCATACTCTAAGTGAGGCCAAACAAATGTCGTATAGGTTTTGTTCAAACATCTTTTTATTGATCTGCACCAATTCTCGTCTCGTATCGCGCGTTTGGCTGCCCTTTATCATTGTGCGATTGTTTAAGGGCAGAGGTCATTAGGACGCCGAGGTCTTTCACTTCCTCAGCATTTGAAAGCAACTGTCCATCATGGAGGTATCGAAAGGAATCATCCTCCTTTCTTGACCTTCTGGTGCGGAGTCTCAGGACCGCACATCTGCTCACATTAAAATTGGGGAGTCAACGGACTGACCAGCTGCTCAGTCGGTCGAGACTGCCTTGAAGCGCACATCTGTCCGCGTCAGATCTGATGGCTTCCCACAGCTTAACATCATCAGCAAACATGACGGCGCTGCAGCCCAGGCCGTCGATACAGTCGTTAGTGCAAAGTAGGAATACCAACGACCCTAAGACTGAACCCTAAGGAACACCAATAAGAACGTGGGTAGGGGTTGACTTTGAGGCAGCAAAGGACGCGGTTTGTGATCTCCCGTAAGAAAATCTCCTATTCATGGCAACACGGGAACGAGTGAGTTCTGTAAGAACGATCGGTTAGCGCCCTCCTTACCATTGTATATTCCCGATCGAAAACCGACAGGGCAAAGGGCTCGTGGCCAAGTGGTTAGAGGCGTGGACTTCTAACTATCTGGTCGCCAGTTAGAGCCTTGGGTGTTCCACACTACGGAGTTGGGTATGACTGCTCGACAACAGCTTAAAAGCCAGAAATGGCCAGTACAGTCTCCCTTGTCTTTGTCGGTAATAACATATTGTCTCAACTTTGTCTTGAGATAAAAAACTGGCATTAAATTCATTTAAAACAGATGAAAACAGCATCATTCTGTCCGCTGACAAGGGAGGCTCCACCACCATAATGAACAAGACAGATCACACAGAGAAGATAGTGACGCTGCCAAAGGACGAATCCACCTACTAAGCTCTGAATGCTGACCCCACAAAATCATAGAATTTCCACATCGGAAAACACTAAAGTGTCTTACAGGAAAGAAATTAAGCTTAGGAGTTCTGGCCAAATTATTTAAACGAGACGAATCTACAATTGCCGGGATATATTGACTTCCTAAATTTCATCAAATGGGCATTCCACTGCCACCGATAGTTTCCTTGATCGGTGCGCCAAATTACAAGATTTCTAAGTGGCTGTTTTACCACTCACAGCCACGTAAAAAGAACTCCGAAAACTTCATTGAAGAATTAGATGAGTTCCTAGACAAATCAACAGGAGTGAGCGTTGCATCCGACGAGATAACGGTTTCATTCAATGTAGTGTCCATCTTTACTTCAATTCCATTAGATTTAGCGAGGCGCTGCACTGAAGAACTCCTTCAGGCCTACACCATCGATGTGCCTGCCGACGCTCTACTCCAACTACTCGATACCTGTCTAGAAACCAACTTTCCTTTCGCCAAACAATGTTATCGACAACTGAAATGTGCTTCTATGGGTTCGCTTATATCTGGTTTTCTGGCAGATGCCATAATGCAGAAACTGGAGTCTGTATCTCTTCCTAAAATTAACCCAAAATTTTGGCTCCGCTATGTTGATGACACAGTTGTCATTGCCAAGAAGAACCAATTAGACCTGCTTCACACAAATCTTAACTCCAGATTTCCAAGAATCAAGTTCACTTTCGAAACGGAGACTGATGGAAAACTCCTATTTCTGGATGTCCTCCTACCTCGAAAACTGATGGATCCCTTCACACTTCACATCAGAGGTCATCCTACATTTGAGAGTAAGCATCCCAACTCTCACAAGAGGAGCATCGTCTACAGCCTGCTAAATCGAGATGAAGAAAGTTATCAAGCAGAAATGAAATACCTCTTAAAATAATTTTTCCACAATGGGTACCCGCGCGACTTTGTACGTCATTGTTTGAATCATGTGCTTAAACAGAAAAATATTTCGAAACTACGGCCACCCAGGCACCAAAATCATTCACCTGGCGGGCTCTCCCATACGTGAAAAATGTATCTGCATTCGTCTAAAGACAGTCGAAAAAGCATCAGGAAAAAGTATTACACCAACCGGCAACTACATTGCGTACACAGCTTGTACACCCTAAGGACAGGTTTGGCTATCTGAATAAAAAAGCTGTTGTCTACAATATCCCATGTTCCAGTTTGGATGCCGTCTATTGTGACCAGACTGGGAAATCTGCCTCAACCCACATACATGATAATTAGTTAGCGGTGCAGAGACGAGATCAACTATCCCAGGTGGCTATGCACACACTGGACACAAATTTGCATGGGAGAACACTCGCATTGTTGGCACCTGCCCAATAAGGAAAGGTCGCGAATTCCTTGAGGCAATGCACTCAGATGAGGCATGCATCAAACAGCATATCGATTCAGATTCAACACACAAATGTCTCAAGGAAAATTGAAGCGAGCGCAACCAATGCCGAAGGAATGACGAAGAACCATTAACGCAAATTGGCGCAGGCTTCGGCCAACCATACAATCACTTGTTCGACACGGTTAAATAGTTAACAATTTTTGTACATAGCCCAAAAGTATGACTACGAGCTGAGGGAACCAGTCTCGCAAATTTACGCATTGAAGGTTATTTTGATCCCAAAGAATCTCACTTACTTTCTGTATATACATATACATATGCAGAATGGTATTACCAACAAAGACAAGGGAGACTGGAATGGCCATTTCTGGCTTATTAGCCGTCGTCAGCCAGTCATATCCAACACCGAAATGTGGAACACCCGAGGCTTGGATTCGCGACCGGATAGTTTGAAGTCCAACGCCTCTAACCACTTACCGTTGATGTAAGATTTGTTAGGGAATATATAGCAAGGAAAACACTGCTCCAAACTAATTCGTGCGCTAGACACAAATGCTGCACCCAATCCGTATGGCGTACGCCGTCTACGTCGAATTGTTACCGCGGAACATTTTGGATACTCCCTTCTGGCTGGAGTGGGTGGAACCTGTGCCACCTTTCTGATGTCAGATCCTGATGGAGCAGAAAGCCGCAAACTACTCAGCTGCATGACATTCCCTTCCACGTGGGGAGAAACACTCTCGGTATACATAGTCAGCATCCAAATCTGATTGGTGAAACTGACTAAAAATGTCAAGGAGTCAATTTGGACTACGCCCCATCAAGCAATAATCCTTATTGTTCCCTTGACGATACTCCATTCTGAATCATTACTCATCACTCCGCTAGTGCCAGCAAGGACGCTAGGTTAAAATCCACACCGTAGCGGGATAAGCATATCCCATGTACGAATCTGTTAACGAAGTTCCCAAGAGGATTCAGATAGTTACTGTGCAGAATTTTGATTAGCAAGCCGGGAAAATTTAGAATTTATTGTTTATTGATTATCAAGCTGGGAATTTAGAATTGGTTTCGACTCAGGAACAACGTTATCTCCACAAATCCACAAGAAGTTCGCTCTGCCTTCGCACGATATCTACTTCGAATATCCCTAGATTCTGCTACAGCAAAAGCCAACAAAATCACAGCCATGGCCCTATCGTCAGCACACCACAACAGAACCACAGTTTCAGTCTACGACGACCACACAGGAGAGAACAGATGAGTGCCGGGCAAGATAAATTGTATCATAATTCAGGAACGTTCAGAGTCTCACGCCTACACATAGTCAAACTTGAATGTGTGGCCGGATCTCGTCGAATGAGCCGCAACTTGAGAGCTGGAGTTGCACACACACCGGAGGCAACCAGCAGGCGTCAGGTAAAGAAACCGACAGACCCGCTGCCACGGCAAGAAATGTCTGGAGTCGTTTATCGGGTCTGGTGCATTTGCGGACAAAGCAACTACTTCGGAGAAACCGAAAGGCCGCTCCAAACGCGAATGACCGAACACGCTGCAGCGGTGCGCAGAAATGACGCCAGCTCTCACGCTGCGGCTGATTCGACGAGATCCGACCACACATTCAAATTTGAAAAGGCCAAAATTCTCACTAGAGGTGAAAATCGTGTGCTGCACGAGCTGCTTGAGTCATGGTTCACTGGTCCCCAGTACATTTACAAGGCAAGGAACTCCGCCTTCCATACTCCGTGCTGAGACTTCGCCTAGGCGGAGTAATTAGCCACACGGAGAGTGCACAAGTGAACACTGTTCCTAACGCCAGGGTTGATGGGTCAGATGGTCGAGCAATCCTTACAACAAACATCCAACACACGTGATGAAAGTGCAGTACTGAACAACGCGAATGTCGGCCATCAAACAGTCATCACACCAAATGCAACGATCGCTGATGAAGGGAGGAGCCGTGAATATTCATAGGTATGCGGTAGCATGGCGACTGCATCCTATAAATATTGCAGCCCCTTGTGCATGAACTACCCGTATTTGCTATTGTCTTTGATGATGGGTTCGAGCAGGAAATCGAAACTTCAGACTAATAAAGCTCTTGTCCCAGCGATCATGTCTCCTTCTTAACGAAATTAATCCTCTTCAGGCGTTCTCGACTGAAGCATTGAAAAAGGAGGTGCCCCTTCAGCGGACTCTTCACCTGCCGAAGGGATTAAACGCTGCCAACTAGTCGTAGAATTGGGAACGCGACGAACCAATAGAGGATAGAACATTGTGATCTACAAAGACCAATTAGTAGAGAATGCCGTTCGTCCTTCGTCTGGATTCAGCTGGTCCCATTGCCCACACAGCTTCACCAATAGACAGTGTCAGGTTTGTAAATAGGTCTCGCATATACTCCAAGCTCACATTCATGCATACTAACGCGTAAAGTATACTCGTCAGAATTGAACGAAATCTGATTCCAAATTTGTGACCTCTCCACAGACGTCGTCTCAATAACAAAAAGAAGTAATGTCTGGAAAGGTTGACCAACAGGAGCTCCTACTGCCCGAATTCGAGCTGTTCGGTTGAGGCAGAAAGAACTGAATGGGTGGAGGCATAGTTACGGATGTAAAGAATGTCCTGCGTGATTCAGTGAACACTTTCAGGCTGAATTGTAACATGCAGGCAGGGAGCTCTGAAAGCTTCGGCGTTTTAACGGTGTATTGACCTCAGAGAAGTCACTTGAGAATCTTAGTCACTGAGGTTGGTTTGTAGAGGCTAGCCTTACGTGATTCCTCAAAGTGCACCCATTCAAAATAGATGAAACAGAATCTTTGTCAGATCTTGCACAAAACATAAATTCGGTAGGGGCTTAAAAACTAAGTCGAGTTTAGCCTTAATGGTTCAATGCAATGGCGGCGGAGATCTTCCAAGTTTAACCATTTGGGTTAGCACCAGTCAGCATGATTTTTTAGAGTCCTTTCTACTACAGTCTACTACAAGCATTCCCGCTGACATCATAGACAGGTGGGTGTGTCGAGCCCATCCTCCGGCTACTCGTGGCCAACGTTACGGATGCTATCTGGTAAGAAGTACACCCAACTGCGTTATGCGTTTGCCATAACACTGGATCCTCCATGAGCCAAGTGTATGTGCTCGAGGCCAGACGAGGCGTGTGGTTGCGTTAAATTTTTGTCAATTGGTAGCCACGGTCATTAGTAGCCACGATCATTCGACTGGGTCATGGAAGAGGAGCAAAGGCATCAGATTGACATCGAGTAATCAATTCAATGCCAAGGGTCCCTCACCGGCCATTGGCCATCCAAAACATTGACCCAGGATCACAGAGCGCATCGGTGTTTCGGACGTCATTGCACAGATCATTGCACTTAAACTAGGGCAAGGTTCGGAAACTCGGTCCCGCCAGGAAATGGGCAAGCCCAGGCGAGTCCTATACGGAAACCGCGGGAAAACGGGAGCTGCGAGAAAACAGTGCAGAATGCGCAAAAACTAGGCGAAAAGAGAGATGTTATCGGCGAATATGATAGTTTGTTTTAGTGAGTAGTAAATCTCAGCGCACGTAGCGCACAGTACAAAAATTCACTAGAGGTAGCCAGTTAAAAATACCCCATGAAGAATAAGGGTGATTGACCCGTCAATGCCACTGAGACCGGACAGATAACGATTGTGACCAATCAGATATAAATCGCAGATTTAAGTTGTAGGGAGTGCGTGCAGAATACCTCCGTAACCCTAAGCACTAAATCTAAACCCTAGCACTAAAGTCAACCTTAAACACTAACCCCAAACCCACACACTAAAGACGAACACCACACAGCTTCTGAGTTTTCACAGCAACCATCCGGTGGCTCACAAACGAAGCTGTGTGAAGACGCTCTTCAAACGGATCCAAAGTCATTGCAGCAAACCGGAGGACAGAGCACGTGAGGCCCGTTATCTCCGCGACCAGTTTGTTCAGAATGGCTATCCGAGGGCATTCATAAGTCGCTGCCTACGCGGTCGCCACCAGAGAACTCGAACATCAACGCCACCGACGATATGGCATTCTCTGCCATACATCAAGGGTGTTTCAGAAGCGACCGAGCGCATAGCTGCGGAGCTAGGTGTTGGAATTGCACACCGCCCCAAAGCCACCATGCGCAGCGGGGTCATGAAAATTAAAGACCGGTTAAAACCTGAAGCGCAATCTAGAGTAGTGTATCGCATTCCGTGTCAAAACTGTCCTTGTAATTACACAGGACAGACTGGACGCATGCTAGAATCGCGCATACGTGAACATAAGCTGGCTGTGCGGCGAGGCGACGCATTATCACAAGCGGCCGCCCATACCTACGAAATGAGTCACGAGTTTGACTTCGCAGCCACCAAAATAGTCGCCCACGCCGGAAACAAAACAGGCCGAGAATTGATTGAAGCATGGGCCTCGGATGAGAACTCGGTCAATCGATTTATCGATCTGGCGCCGGCGTACAGAGCCCTTCGTAGTCGCCTCCAGTCGTGCGACGTCGGTCGATGATTGGGTCTACGTGCCTTATAACTGCCGCTTGTCCTGTTTCTGCCACTACCTCTGACGATGGACTCCTGTACGAGTCTGAAAACTCAGGATAATAAACGAATTGTTTCGGTGCTCGACTCTTCTTCTTCACAGATCCAACTCTAGACCGTAAACTCTAACCCTAAATATTAACCCTGACTCCTAACACTAAACCCTAACACGTAAGCCTAAATCCTAATCGTAAAACCCGAATATTTGTGAATACTAGTCGCATCAGTCCGTGAAGCGCCTCAAATCGAAAGCATCCACAGGCAGTTCTACGCCTGCTGAATTCACCGAGAGTGTGAAAGTGATAAATGCTTAGCACACACTGAAATCAATAGTAGTGCACGGGTGATGATTTGTTGACGAAGCAGGAGTGCGTTAAGGAGCCCCACCTAAATTAGACCTTCCCACAAGGCTTCATGAGAATCATGAGCAGAGGCGAACATCCTAAAGCCGCTCAGACTGTTTACCTGAATTTGCCTCCCATAATGTTTTGGCTCAACAGCCTAATAACAAGCCAACTGAGTAATTAGTATCTGCATTTCATCCTCACAATGTCGTCATCCATATATTTTTGTATTTTATACGGCAGTCGACGTGATAGACCGCACTTCTCCTGCCTCACTCAGGATAGGTCAGAAATCAAGCTAGATAGGAAGACTGGTCTTCCCGCAGATCTGGATCTCGTGAGGCATTGCAAGATCTTTGGCTCAAACACTGACACCACATTAGCGGCAAATTCACATCAGGCTCCAAAATGTCTCCGGCATGGGCTGTACTTCCGTTCTATACCTTAAAATAAAAGAAATAACTCTAATTATTTAAATAAAGCAATGTCACCATGTACGTGGATCAGGCTCATTTTCGGCATGCGTTTACCATGTTACGTCGTGTCTCCGTAATCTCACATGGACTGCCATGCATATGTACGAATTCCTAATTCCGACAGCTTCATTACTTCGCAAAGCCTGATATTCCTGAATTTACACCCACAGAAAATAAGAAAGGTAGTATCCTAGTCAGATCCTACGCAAAACATAAGTTCGGATGAGGTCTAAGTTGGCATTGGCAGTTTAATTGCCATGCGGGTGGAGAAAGTCTGCCGTGGTCCTCTGCTTAACCATTTTGTTTAACACTGGTCAGCATGGCTGCTTGAGGGTCATTCATATCTCAAAAACGCTTTGACTACTACAGGTATTCGTAACAAGTGTCTACATAGGAGAAGCGTGTCAGGGACATATTTCCAGACACCCGACTGCTAGTGAGAAAATCAGTGGAAACGGCCTTAAATGAAGTGCATTAATCCGCATTAAGCGGTTTCTAAAACATTGGATTCTCCATAAGTCAACCGCATATAATCGCGACTGGACAGTACATATCGTCGCGCAACATGTTCGTCATCTGGTAGTCAGATTTGGACAGTCGGCTGATGCATTAAAGGGGTGTAAAGAAGTCCGTGGACATTGAGGAATCTATGCAATGCCAGGGGTCTCTACGACTACTATTCTCTCTCACCAATGATCTGGCATTACATAGCGCTTTGATATTTCGGATGATGAGACACTCATCACAGGACATAAGTTAGACCTTTTCATGAGGTTTCTTGGGAACAATGAGTAAATCTGAGTACCTAACATCTGCTCAGATTGTTAATTTAAGACTGTCTTCCACAATGTGGTATTGAGCGCGGGGGGCTGGACTTAAAGGTTATCCCTGAGGCCTCCCAGATGACGAGTGTCCTCGCCGTATGGCTCTGCAACACCTCTGGCCAAAACTCTGCCCTCCTACGAGCGGCAACTGCACAGGCTATAACACCTCCGCGACACGGACTGTATGAACATGCGCGCTATTTCTTCATTTGCTACTTGAACGGAAAAAAGTTACCAGTTATTTGGACCTGACTGAATTATGGCAAGAGATCAATGCGTTCTGCCGAGTCTTCGTGATCTCATAACACGCCGTAAGCGTAGGTCTTCACGGCGAACCAGTTACTGTGTCGATCTCGTCACCAGGTCACTGAGAGGCTCAGACAGTCCGTTGATGCATGAAAGAAAGGGGACGATAGTGAGCCCGACAGTGAAAGTATCCATTTTCACAACAAATCATCGCATTCCCACCACAGTATAACTAATTGTGACTTGGAAGACTGCCCACTGATGGCATACTACGGTGCTCTTGGTGAATAGTTTTGTGTGACTGGAGGGCTGGCAGTCAGGATACTGATAGTGCATCTCTCGTTGCCAACTGTGTCCACCGTGTGCTCCACAGCATGTTGAAGCAGACACAGTGACCTGCGCGTGAATTAGTTGACAGTAATAGTGGACTTGCCCAGTATCTACCGCACTCTCTCCTCCCCCGCCTGAATCAAGTGCCAAAACATACTCAAGAAGACCGGAGGCGAGGGGGGGGGGCGGGTTGGTCAGTATACCAGGGCTCATTCTTAATGCATACCCTATGACATCCCTGCTCACGCGAGAACGGATACACCCCCTTCTGTTGGCTGGTGCATGTGGATTCGAGCCCAGCCGTGTTTGGGGCAAGCGTGAGGGGCGGTCAGGCTCTGTGAGCCACCTCACTCAACCCCATCACCGGTCGCTGACAACCCCGCTGAGATCGTTTCTCCTTCTACAAAAAACAGCACCATACATTCCTGGTAATCAGAAGGTAGTCGAGGAGTCAGGTGACGATTGAGGCGTCCTGAACCTGCCATTTTTCATAAAAACGTCACAGTGCTCCAGGTGGCTCTTCAAAACTAGCAACTTCATCTGGTGACGCACTCTCCACCATAGAATAACGCATAGGTTTAAATCTATAACGACCATGTAAGCATTGTGGCTTGGAAGGCTACCAACTGACGAGATAATGCGGTGCGCTTGTTGAATAGTTTTGTGTGACTGGGAGTCAAGATACCGATAGCTCGACCCCCCTTGACGACTATGTCTACCATGTGTTCCACAGCATGTTGCGGCAGACGCAGTGACCTGCGCGTGATTTAGTTTATAGAGATAGTGGACTTGCACGGTATCTACCGCATTCTCTCCTCTCCCGCCTGGATCCGTAGCCAAAACATAGTTAAGAAGACCAGAGGAGGCAGAGCGAGTGGGCCAGTATACAAGGGTTCATTCTTAATGTGGACCCAATGACATTCCTGCACACCCGAGAACTGGTTAATCCCGTGTTGTTTTCTTGTTCATGCAAACTGCGGCCCGGTCATTTGTGTGGCACGCGTAGACGGGCGATCAAACTTTGTCAGCCACTCCACCCAACCCCATCACCAGTCGCTGCCAACCCCGAACAACCGACTGGCACATGAGAGGGCGACAAGAAAGATAGAGAGACCAAAACTGGGAAATAAATCAAAATGACAAATCAAAACACCCTAACCCCCCTGATACTCAATCGGATGAGCAATAATGTAATACGGGACTCGCAGAGTTGTGGTTTGAGAGTTGCCAACTGATGACATAACTCCATCATTCTCAGAATCGGGCTACAATGTCCCCTTCCCACTGTACCTTCTATGCTGGGCACCCTTATTTTAGTCTGGCATGCCCCGCCAAGGGTGTGAGTAATGTTTAGGCGGGCTGACTGACTTCGCCAACCACCTAACGGACACAACACTGTTGGAGCTGGGGTTAGAGGTTGGGGTTAGGCGAAGGGAATGGGGCAACTGTTTCTCAACCGCCCAAACTACAACCGTGCATTCCTAATAGCTAGTCTTTGGCATACAACTAGTTGACTTCGTCGCATATGCGTTATCCGGCCCCATGTGTAAAAACTCTTATTGTCACCGGTCCCGTATTACAGGTGGCTGGGCTTTGTTTACTTCAGGTGGGGCTACATAACCAAATCTGACCAATTGAGGTACATGATGTTCTCTTCCATGCGGAAAAAAAACTCACAGTATACGTAGTCAGATATTCAAAAAGGATTGGAAAGACAAATCTGATCGGCCGAAATCTAACTAAAAATGTCCAGGAGCCAATTTAGATTGCCCCTTAGCAGGCGACAGTTCTGATTTGGTCTCTGATGAGACTTCCTTCTGAGTCATTACTCACCGCTGAGCAAAAGTCCGCGAGGCCGCAGCTGGTCCACCAGTGGGCTCTGCCAGATGAGTCGTAAGCACTTCATCGAACCGAAGTTCATTACCGTCTCGCTATTTCTTATTCTTTGTCACCATGTATGTGTGCCGAATGAGCATACTGACAAAGAGAGCGAGTGCATTGGCGATTTCCGGCTTGCGTGCAGCCACCGGCCAGTAATGCCCAATCCTAGATTTGTTACGTCTGTCGTTTGAGCTGGAGTCCTGCTGGGTTAATTGTAACTGTGCGGTAGAGCACCCTCTCCGATCACTCCGCAATACCTATGCCTCCCATTGTATGCTGAGGCTTCAGGTGGAGCCTCGCAGGCAGTTGCACAGCGAGTACTAACACACACTGGCTTTGATCGCACTACTCTGTGATGGAAGCGAGAGACAGACCGAAATTCTGGGCCCGGTATGTGGATGACACCTTCGTCGTCATCGAAAGGGATCAGGTTTTGACATTCCAAGAACATCTCAACGCCATCTTCCCGGACATTCGATTTACAATGGAGGAGGAAGAGAACAACCAGCTGGCCTTCCTGGATGTCCTCGTATGCCGCAAAGATTGTGGTGAACTAAAAACCAAAGTGTTCAGGAAAGTAACAAATACGATACAAGTACTGAACTTCAACAGTAACCACCCAATCAGCCACAAACGCAGTTGTGTAAGGACGCTCTATCGGCGTGTCGAAACGCACTGCAGTGAGCCGGAAGACAAAATTGCCGAACTACAATACCTCCGACGGGTCTTCAAAGCCAATGGCTACCCGCGCAACTTCGTCGACCGGTGCATACGCAAAAGGGACAAAAGGCCTAACCGCACGGACACCAAATCTTGGCGGGCACTTCCGTATGTTAAGAACGTTTCGGAAGCTGTCGGCCGCCTTCTCGC